AAAGTGATAAACATTCATAAAGTAAGTGGGTAGCATTGACAGCATTGACATTCGAAGCCTCTCAAGTAGTTCAGATAGGCTAGTGCATTTCTAGCAGCTAGTTGTGAAGATCAAAGCTTACTGAATATTAATAATAAGAAAAAGGAATGATGAATTTTCTTTTCCAGAAAACGCTTCAAATCATTCCTTCTTCATCTCTCTTCTTTCAAATGTTTATTATGTTCAACATTTAAATGTACAATTTGTTTCTATCGTGCGACTAGCTGGGTCCCAACTATTTATGGACAGGCACTGCGGAACATGCACCCTTAGGGACAAAGAGTCATGAACATATACTACAACGCTCTGAATATGTAAACTCAAAATCAGTTATTAGGGCGTAATGATCTGAAGGATAGTCGTTTTCCCGATGATCCGGCATTGGCCTAAGACTTTCCCTACCAGAGTACAATATGGTTCCTATGGGAAAGATGTTGCCTAAAAAAATGCACTAGGCAATCTTATTAGCAAAATAGATAAAGTTTCTAGCCTTCTGGAAAATTGGCATTACCCTTGTAGAGTATGTAATCTATTCGATCCTGAGGTTCCGGAATCTGATACTCCCATTCAGCCATGAACTTATTAACAGTTGACCACGTATTTCCTAAATCCTTTATTTAGTAGTAATTTATCGTGATACTCAGGTGTTTGATGTAACCTGGCTCATCTATAACACTGGGATGCAGTATGCGGAAGGAGTCCTGTAATCCCGCATCTTCTGCGATTTTCGTTGCTGGCCAGTCTATGACCCACCCTCCATGGTCCTTCCTATATCATCCACTCTTGAAAAATTGTTTGAGTTCTGTGACAATAATTCTGAACCTCGTTTCACTAGTCCAGTCCAAATGAGAAGGTGAATTAAAATCTCCTGCCAACACGAATGGCACCAAGTCGCTATCATTCAACCATCTGCTAATTTCAGGATGCTGTAGAACTTCTTCCATATTTTGAGCTCTCCCTGAAATACAAATGGTTTTATTTTCTTAGCATGCGAAACATTCCAAAAAATACAGTCTTTTCCAAGTTCAACTACCCTAATTTCCGGGGTATAAGCCGCACTTGTTTTCCTC